TTTATTTAAAGTCCACTAAATTACCAGAAATGTCAAAGTCAATAAATCCACTTACGTCTCGAGAAATTATAATTGCTTTTATAATTAAATTTCATAAACGTAAGTTTTTACAAAAATCATTCAACATCATTCAAGAACAAGTAATAGTGGCTATTTAATGTAATAAATATTTAAACTTCTAAATCGTGATAATTGTCCAAAGTTATAAACGAAATCATAAATTGTAAGTTCAAAATCTATATTAAACATTAAAAAAATGTGAAATAATTCTTTGTAAGAGTTTCAATAAAAATACTGAAATAATAAAAGTATATTTCTACATCTGCTATATTTCAATCTAAACTGCATTAAAAATATCTATCATGAATTAAGAAAATTTTAAAAAATGTAAATTTAATTTTAAGTAAAAAAACGAATAAATTTATCTTATTTCGCTGAGTTTTATTCATTGTATGATGCAATACATACATACGTATATTAATGAGTAGAGATATTCATCTATAACAAACTAAATTCATTAAAATGTAATTAGATTTGAATTACAATTAAATGCAAATATATTAAACAAATATTAGTGTTTTTAAGAAAACCTCTTATAAAAAAATTATATTCTATGTTTTGAATTTTTGCATACAGAATTATTTCCATTAGTTGTTACATTTCGTAACGCAAGTATAATTAATGAAAATGAAAATGTAATGTTCAATGTACAATACATGTCATTTATATTCAAATCACGTCATTTATAGTCTAAATAATGCTTAACCTTTTGAGTTATAATATTGAGTTATACGCTCGTGGTAGAAATTATGATTTCAATTTGAAAAAAAAAAAAACAAATTACAATCCTGTGGAATATGAAATTAATTTTCAATTTTAGTTCTTCAAACTAAAGATTAATAAATGCAAATTATATAATGTTTTCAATGCTTTGATATAATAACGTGTAGTAACTAGTGTTTACTAGAAGACTGAGAGAAACATCGTGAGACAAGGGAAAAAAAACATTAAAATAATACTTAGAAATCAATTACTTTTAAAATAATTAATAAGTTTATCTTGACTGATCTTTTCTTAACATGCATATGGATAAAGTTTTATAAAAATTATATTCTGTGATGGCAATTTTTCAATAAAAAGTGCGAACTCTCAAATATTTTAGACATTTATAATAAGGAACATATCTTATACGCCAACTTTCTTTTATACGTTTATTATAATTTATATTAAAATAATATTCTGTTCTAATAGAATTAGAATTTATTATATATATTATACAATAGAAAACTTGCAAATCTGAAAATGACATTATTAGTTCTTAATTATTATTTAGAATATTTTCTACAAAATATTTTTTCTGGTTGATTTAAAATGAAAGTTATGATGACATAAGACAATAGAAATATCAAGAGAAAATCAAATTTAGATTTTTTCAATTTCAAAAATAGTTCGTTCGATTCTTTTAAATTATTAATTATAAAATTTGTAATTAAGAAAGTATTCACGTCTTCAAAGATATCAAGTATCCTAATATTAAAAGCAAAAATTTCACGTTGCATCCTAAATGGCCTTTAATTATTTAAATTATTAATTTATTTAAATTATTAATTCATTTCTACACTATGTCAGAGTTAGCAAAATTCTTTTCATTGAAATGTAAATAATTTTATGAATAAAGCAATTCATCCTAACTCACTACATTCTTCTACGTCAGAGTAAAAATTTAAAACATTTGTTTGATATAAGCTAGAAGACAAGTTGTAATCAAAGCAAAGAAATAAAATATAAATTATTAATGTGTATATCATTGTTTGCATTAGGATATTTGTAAAATATAGTCTGGAAGTTATTAAATATACCTTCAAAAATCGTTGTTTGATTTAACGCTTCAAATTTTAATATTGTAATATAAAAAATTATATAATAAATAATAATACAATTTAATAATATAAAAAATATAATATTATAACTTTAAATTATAATATTATAACTTAAAATTTAATATTATAACTTTATAACAAAAGTTCTAATAATAATAATTTATATAATAAAATTAAATTAAATCTCGATTATTGTTTTAATTAGTTTTTGTATCATATATATTCATAATATATCATTTTATTGTAAGTTTTTATTGTTATTTGATTCTTTACTTTAAATGATACTTTGATTTAAATCTAGATGTTATATAACTTTTTTGAATTTTTTCAATCTAACTTATTTCAAATTTATTTAATGAGGTATCATTATTTTGTTATACTTTTTTAAACAGTAATAGTCCTCAAATCTGCCAGATAATTTTGTCTGATTACCATATTTTCCATGAAACATCAAATTATTGAAATCGTACCGAAATAAACATTACTATTATATAATTCGCTTTCGTAACTCACAATTTTATTAAAAAAAAAAAATTAGTAATAAAGTCTACGACTAACTCTCGACGATTAACAATTATGATGTACCATAATAGTTTTTATAAAGCAATTATAAATAGCTTTTATAATAGCAATTATGAATAACTATAATGCAAAGAAAGTTTTTACAATGGCAATTATAAATACCTATAATGCAAAGAAAGTTTTTACAATGGCAATTATAAATAATTGTAATGCAAAGAAAATTTTTACAATGGCAATTATAAATAACTATAATGCAAAGAAAGTTTTTACAATGGCAATTATAAATAATTATAATGCAAAGAAAATTTTTAGAATAGCAATTATAAATAACTATGATGCAAAGAAAATTTTTAGAATAGCAACTATAAATAATTATAATGCAAAGAAAATTTTTACAATGGCGACTATAAATAATTATAATGCAAAGAAAATTTTTACAATGGCAATTATAAATAACTATAATGCAAAGAAAATTTTTAGAATAGCAATTATAAATAACTATGATGCAAAGAAAATTTTTACAATAGCAACTATAAATAATTATAATGCAAAGAAAATTTTTACAATGGCAATTATAAATAACTATAATGCAAAGAAAATTTTTACAATAGCAATTATAAGTAATTATAATGCAAAGAAAATTTTTACAATAGCAATTATAAGTAATTATAATGCAAAGAAAGATTTTACAATGGCAATTATAAATAACTATAATGCAAAGAAAATTTTTACAATGGCAACTATAAATAACTATAATGCAAAGAAATGGCATAATTATAAATCGCGTCTACAAGTCTTAATATAAATAACGTAAACGCGAGATACGTTTCTGATTTAATTATCACGGATCGTCGTTATTTGTTTCTCATCCCATACAACCGGATACAACTTTTTTATCCTTCGCTTTTCTACTTTTTCATTGTGCGTTGTCTGTCGATGGCGACACGGTTCCGTGTGTGTGGGCACGCGGTCCGCAATAAAGCGTCGGAAATTCGAGAAATTTCGAGGACAGACGGATAGGTACTTTCACGAACATACACAAACGTGAACCGTATATCACCGCGGGAAACGACAATCGGTTGGCTGTATATGAAGGGGGGGGGGGGCGGAGGGCCCGATTGCGCGCGGGTATTACAGGCGCAACGGGCCACCGGAAGTTACGTTTGACAAACCGCATGTAAGCGGAACACGGACACGGCCGTTCGCGATTCCGTGTAATTTTATGTTTGTGCTTGTTGAACCGTGATCGCGTTTCTGCGGCGGCCTAAGCGGCACGCGTGCGGTCATTCCCGATTCGCGCGAACTATCACTCTATTTAGCCGATTCTGTGTTACGTCCCAGCGAATGCATCTGACCCGCAGTGATAATCCCTCCCCCCCTCCCCCCTCCCCACCCATCGGCGCTCTCTCTGATTATCTCCCGATCTAAAGCATAATTCGATTTCAAGTTGTTTTACGATATTAACGAGAAATGTCGTTGGAGAGCTGCCGGCAATTACGGTCCTGGCAATCGTGTCGTTCGCGATTGAAAAGTGAATGGTTTGAAACACTCGGAAGGTGGAAACAGGCATTTCGACGATCTCTCGATTTTTACGGTGAAATTCGATTTACGGTTGTTAACGACAGGTTTTATTACAGACGGCGATGCTTTTGTTCAGTAGCGTCGTTCGAGGTTGAAAAGCGGCTGTACGAAAATATCTTTCGACGCAGATATGGATGATTATTTACTTCTGAATATTTTGAATTAGAATTTTCAGAGTCGTAACGCCTGTTTTTGTTATTAACGACACAGGAAATACACATTTTTGTTATTGTTTTGTTATCATTGAACGGTATAAAAGAGAGGTCTATTTTTGATTATTTTTCAAAATCGGCATTTATTTTCATAAAAACGTACGCTGTATCTGTTTTATTACATTGTGTTTTGTAACATAAAAGCACGTGTAGTTGTTATAAAAAAAAAAAAATTCATTTGCTGAATCAAAAAATTTAAAAGTTCAAAATAAATTCATTGACTGAATGTTACAAACTTTACAATGATGAAATAAACAAATTGCCACATAGCTAGAAAATTACATCAGAAATTTACAATTTAATTAACAATTGTGTTAGCGTTAAAATAATTTATGTCTCTCTTCACGAAAAACGGAATTAATTCTGATTAATCTGTATTTAGAAATACAATTCGAAGGTTAAATAAATAATATAGAAGTCTAAAGAAATTTTTATATTAGTATTTTAATTAACTTTAAAGAGACCATAACTTTAAGAAAATATTTTTATATTTCCTTCTTTCATTTTCTGAAAATTGTCTGCGTAATTGTATCCTCCTTCAAAGTATTTAAGAAACACATTCAAATTGTTTACAGTGCACATACACTGTAACTGGACTGCAGATATTTATTCAAATTTATACTTTTGGAAATGTAATTAAAAAACAAAACCTTAATGGAACATCGTCCTGCTAGATTTTGCAAAAAGCATTGTACTTTTGATACGTATGCACATCTTTGTACTTTTGCACGTAGTATGAAGATTTCGTGTATATAATACGTAAAAATCCGCAGTCTAATTATAAGAAATGCTTTTGCTAACGTACCTTGCAAATTCGAGTACAATCCGTCAAACAAGTTCGATCTGAACCACCTGTTCCAATTCCAGGCCGAATCTTCAAGACTGTCCTCGAAGCTCACATCAGGGAAATCGAAAGTTGCTGACAACATCTGATCTCTTGTGTCGGCTGGCAAAACAAGAACGGAGTCCACATTCTTTCTTTCGCTCGTATCCGTATCACGTGCACCTGTAAAAGATAATAAAATTACTTTAAAAACAGGTTGCTAAATCTGAAACATTAAATATTTAATATGTTCAAATCATTAAATATTAAATATTATTATTTATTTATTTATAATATTTATTATTTATATATTATTTATTTATATTTATTATTTATATATTATTTATTTATAATATTTATTATTTATATATTACTATTTATTTATTTATAATATTAAATATTAAAATTGATTATAATTATAATTATATTGTTTACGAGATACATATACAGGATGTCTCAACTAAATGGAATCATCTAAATATCTGCTGTATTTATTGTTGTACGAGAAAACACTCAGGACGTGCTTTCACTATCTCAACGGGCTATTTCGAACGATGGAAATAAATAAATGTTTCTCGTTTTCTTACAGGTCTTTAGCGATTTTTTAAATGGAACTATATATTTCTTCCCGATACTGAGCATGAAGGACAAATTCAACGATTCTAATGATTATATTATGCCAAGACCATTTAATCTTAAGATATTTGTCTAGAAGTAACTATAATTTACACAGCAATGACAGTTATATATTTATATTCGAAATGAAACATTAGATATTATTGAAAATTATTGATCCAGTGAATGATTGGTTAATTTTTTTCAGTATTCTATAAAGATGTATGTATTTGTAACTTAATCTGCTGTGTATGTAAAAAAAAGTTATAATTGTTTTCAAATGTAAATATTTCGAGAATAAATAGTATAGTATAGTATATATATGTCTGGAGAATAAATAATATATATATATATATATATATATATATATATACTATATATAATATATTATATAATATTATAAATATTACATACATATTATACAACCATATAACCATATAACTATTATATTATATTATTTATATTATATAACCATATAACTATAGTATATATGTAGTATAATTATTGTGATTGTTGAATTTAATTTTTCATGTTCTGCATTAGAAACAAAAACATACTGTTTCATTTAAAACATTGACTTTGAAATCTCATAAGAAATGATCTTGACAAAAATGTATTTCCACTATTCAATACAGCTTTTGACATGCTTGAAGCTTTGTTCTTAAAAAAACGATAAATAAGGCTTTTCTCAGATGATAAATAAAGCAAATATTTAGATGAATCTGAGACGTAGCTGAGACATTCTGTATATTGTTATACAATACTTTTTAAGTTCAATGAAAAATTTTGAAAGATTCGGTCAATAACGGTTTGCTTTATAGCCATTTATAAGACACAAACAGTAATTAATTTTGAACAAAATAATTGGTAATATGATTATCAAAATAGATCTTTGACAAAGTTTTCCAATTGTAAATGACATAATTGAAAATGTAAGTAAGCATTAAATATCTATAACAATTGTAATTGTAATTTAAATTTCTTCTTATTTTAAATTTATCAAGTTTTCTGCAACTCGTAGATGAGTTGTGGATTTTTCAGCATTCATAGGAAGCTTTAAAATGCAAAATTGCACAGACTTTAAAGAGTATGAAAAAAATATACAAATGGTTTAGGTATACAATATCTGGTATGTAAAACAATTTTCTATCGATATTCTGTTTCTTTACTTTTTAGTTTTCAAAAATATGAATTTGCACAGAAATCTGCAGGCTATTTATAGATGAATAATGTATCATCGACTAAAAATATAAATTCTATTTTTTAAACTACAGTCATGCAGAACAATTTCATTAATAATTAACAGTTTGAACGCGTTCTATTAACGTAAAGAAATAACAGATTGTAATAAAATATAAATTAATGGTTTAAAAATCACTGATTAATGACAAATTACAAATTACAAAAATTAATCAAGATTGCTGATTTATTTGAGCAGTGGTTAATTGATTAACGATTACGATTATCATGACTACTATTTAGTAATTGATAAAAATGATTACAAAGTAATTGATTACTCCTCAATTCTGTAGTTACGTAAAATGATTGAGAAATAATTTGTTCGAATGACTTTTGGTATGAATACTCGGATTGATTACTGCTTTCGGTAAATATTGGTATTATTTCGGGATAGATTGTTTGTTTTCTGGAATGTAAAATATCCAAGTATTCCGATGATTGCACATGTCATTGCGTTATGTAAATCTAAGTGTACTCTTTGTTGTTGATTCTGTTGTTCAAATTATGGTGATTATAGAAAGGATGTGGTCAGTAATTATATGTATGTGTATACATTATGTAATTATTGTATATTTATAATTATTGTACATTTATAATTATTGTATATTTATAAAGTTAAATTGATATGACAAGTTCTAAGATAACGAATACATACATTATACGCGATGAAATAAGAAAAAGTATAGATGATGAAACGAATCATTATACTAGGTAAATTTAAAAATATGAAATGTCTTTTTTCCTATGAAGGAATTTGAATCTCATTGTGGTAAAAAAAAAAAAAATACGTATTTTCATTCGCAAAGGAATCTTGGGCTTAAGCTTCGAATCTGAGAAATGCGTTTTGCAAGAAAGAATTCGTTTGATCCAGCTTACGTTCCCCCTCTTGAAACCTTACAATCTCCGTTTAACCTATTTTTAGGTAAATCATAATATCTGGTTATATTATATATAAATCAATCTGGTGTATATATATGTGTGTATACTTCTAAACATCGCTATTGTAAATAAGATTCAAGAATTTCAAAAATTTCAAACATTCTATTGTAACAGCAAATACATCGAGACTTGCTCAAACTAGAAAATTATTAAAAGCCATTTCTTCTTCCGTTTAATCCACTTCTTCTTAAGCTAATTTTCTCATTTTAATCTTGAAATAATTCCATCTCGCAATTTCAATCGTCTCATCTGTCTGTCAATTAGAAAGAAAGCAATTGAGTTAAATTTAACTATTATAAATTTCAAATTCAAAGTTTAAATCTTTAACTTCTAAAATAGACATAAATATTTCAAATACCACATCTGACAATTCTAAAACTCAATTATAAAATTTTTATAAACAACTAAAATTAAAAATTTTGTAATTTGGTATTAAATTTTATTTAAGATGAATTTATTATTTTATTTATCTAATAATACTATACCTAATGTAGTATTATTTATCTATATTTATTATTTTATTTATCTAATAATACTATATCAAACATCTAACGATTCTAATACTCAATTATAAAATTTTTATGAACAACTAAAATTAAAAATTTTGTAATTTGGTATTAAATTTTATTCAAGATGAATTTATTATTTTATTTATCTGATAATACTACATCTAAACATCTAACGATTCTAATACTCAATTATAAAATTTTTATAAACAACTAAAATTAAAAATTTTGTAATTTAGTATTAAATTTTACTTAAGATGAATTTATTATTTTATTTATTTGATAATACTATATCTAAACATCTAATGATTCTAATACTCAATTATAAAATTTTTATGAACAACTAAAATTAAAAATTTTGTAATTTGGTATTAGATTTTATTCAAGATGAATTTATTATTTTATTTATCTGATAATACTATATATCTAAACATCTAACAATTCTAAATCATAAAATTCAATCATAAAATTTTTATAAACAACTAAAATTAAAAATTTTGAAATTTAGTATTAAATTTTATTTAAGATGAATTTATTATTTTATTAATAATAACAATATATCTAAACATCTAACAATTCTAATACTCAACCATAAAATTTTTATAAACAACTAAAATTAAAAATTTTGTAATTTGGTATTAAATTTTATTCAAGATGAATTTATTATTTTATTTATCTGATAATACTATATCTAAACATCTAACGATTCTAATATTCAATTATAAAATTTTTATAAACAACTAAAATTAAAAATTTCGCAATTTTATTAGTATTAAATTTTATTTAAGTTTATCATTTTATTTACTTACTAATACTATATCTAAACATCTAACAATTTTAATATTCAATCACAAAATTTTTATAAACAACCAAAATTAAAAATGAGTATTCTCTGATGGTCTGACTGAGAATAACACTAAGGATACAGTCCCTTAATAAGCAGTATAATCCGCTAATAGTTACTAAATAGTATAAAATCACGATCTTCGTCCAGTTTCTTATATCTTATATAATAAACTAGCGCATCGCACGTGAATGTCGAAGTGATTCATCGTCGATTCTCCTTTTAATGCCATCTGCTAGATCTGCTATCGACTTCACTGTCCATCAAGAAAAGCAGGATTCTTCACTTCTGAGCTAAATGCTCGACACGCATGGACAAACTTCATCGGCAATCGATAAGCAGAGTACGTCGATAAGGACGAAAAAAGAGAAGAAATAGTAGGATTGAAAAAAAGAAAAGAAAGAAAGAGAAAGAGAAGAGAAGACGTTGACCACGTGACGTTTCATTTGCAAAGTGTCAAAGCGCTCCGTGTTACTCAAAGTCTCAACAACGGCGCGTCGCGCGAAACTATCGTTTCGGAATGATCGATCGTGTCTTCCTTTTAACAGCTCCTCCTCTCGTTTGTATATCAAACGGTCCACCACTGTACGGTGTTCCTTCCTCTCAAAGAACCTCGAATTTTTTTCCACGGACACCGTTACACGGTGCACCGTTTATACCGGATGAAATGTAAAACAGCGATGTGTCTTTGGAGAGAAGAAAAAACGCGAATGTAAAAGTTACGATCGATCGTGACTATCGGCGAACGATAACGTAATACGCTGTACGCTATTCTATTCGAGTGTAATCTCGTGTCCCGTGCTCGAAATGCGCTCCGAGCGTAATTTAATTTTAATTTGAGGCGAAACGCGGCTGGATATGTATAAGCGCAGTGAACTGAAGAAATTGAACGCACAATATTTGGGCGACGTCGGCAGGATGTTTGTTAGAGAAGAGGCAAACTGAGAGTGGCGTTAAGGATGTTTCTGAGATCGTCTTTGTTTTTGTACACGGGATATTATATTCTGTATAGCCCCTGCGGTGCTTTCAAAATAAGCTAT